CCACCCCTTTAAATATGTCTCCCTCTCCCCCCCCTCTCGCTGTCCTTCCCCCTCTCCCTCTCTCATTCTCTACCCCCTCTCCCCTTCTCTCTCTCCCTACCTTGTCCCCATTCTGCCACGTGCCACACGCTCTTTCCCAGTCATTAGTGTCGAATCCCGCACAGTACAACACAAGCTACATACAAGAAGGTGAAAATATTACCTCGTTAAGGTAACCTCTCACGAAATCGGAACATTTTACTGTTTTCAGGATCCACAAAGCTGTGCTTTATTATTTTCAAAGTCACACATTCTGTGCAGAATATTGTTTATTTTTACAGATATGAGGAGTATGATATTATTCTATTTAACTTACTTGTAGTTGTTCATGAATTAGATCTAATTGTTTGGTTAAAAAATGGCTTGCTCTTTTGAAAAGAATTTTGTGTTGTAACCTTCCACTAAGTTACACAGTGTTCGAAAAATCTGTTGTATTTTTTTCTTTCTTTTTCTTTTTTTTAGGTACAGACCTTCTCTAATAAGGTTGCTCTCCTTTTCAGGTCAAGTTAGATTTCTGAAACAAAAACTATGGCGAACGCTAACTTGAAGATCTCCTACTTCAACGCCAAGGGGCGCGCAGAGCTTTCTCGCCTCGTTTTGGCAGCCGCTGGCAAGAAGTATGAAGACTTCCGGTTCAAGGGAGACGAATGGCCCCAGCACAAAGCCAGTGAGTTTCTTGTAATCTGTGTGGGAAGGAGACAAGCGTATAATTAGAGAACGTCAGATGTACGTCATTGGCCGGTATTTATAGAAACAGCCATCTGGTTGACGTCATTGAGGGATTCAAATTTGGTTGTCATTCATGGTGGCATCATCATAATGATCATTATCATTATCATTATCATTATCATTATCGTTATCATTATCATTATCATTATCATTATCATTATCATTATCGTCATCTTTATCGTTATTGTTCGCCAGGTTGCTGTTGGTTTGATACCTGTGATCTACATTGTAGAATGGAACAATAACTCTCTCTCCATTTTTGTTCATTTATTTATTTGTCAGCTGTGCTGACAAAATGAGTCACTTCTCGCAATCCACAAATGGAGATATTTGCAAAAAATCACCGCTTTAAGGGTCAAATTTGTAGATTTTCTACTGATGCCATATTATTTAAGTGTAATATGTCTGTTATTATTTCATTCTTAGGTATTAAAAAAACTCATAAGCGTGATGTATCAATTTCCATATGGCCCGAATCCAAGAAGTAACTCATTTTGTCCGCACGTTTTACATTTATTATTATTGTTTTATTTTAACTCCAGAGATTAATGGCGTCGGTGGCCTAGTGGTTAGGCGACCGGACTCGTTATCGTGAGATTGCGGTTCGAGCCGTTGTGTCCTTGGGAAAGGCACTTTACACAGTTTCCGAACTTGGTTGTGTCCTCTCGAAATGGACGTTAAATTCAGAGGTCCCGCCTCTTAAATAACCTAATAGTGTTGATAGGGGTGTTAAACCTATACCGTTTCATCATTTTTCCAAAGACTGGGAAAGGCACTTTACACGAATTTCCCACTTGGCTCGGTTCTTTCGGAGATGGACGTTCAATTCTTAAATACCCTAACAGTGTTGATAAGGGCGTTAAACCTATACCATTTCACCAATTTCCCAGAGACTCCCTTCGGACAAAGTCCCACACTGGAAGTGGACGGCAAAGTGTATGGTCAGTCGATCGCCATCGCAACCTACCTGGCCAGGGAATTTGGTAAGTCAAGGATTGATGAATTTAAAGAAGCGAAGTGTTGGGGAGTATATGGGTGTTTGGCGGGGGCTCTGGTGTGTGTGTGTGTGTGTGTGTGTGTGTGTGTGTGTGTGTGTGTGTGTGTGTGTGTGTGTGTGTGTGTGTGTGTG